AGAGAAGGCGCTGAGTGCCGCCTCTGGCACCCATGCCATAGGTTCGCCACCACCGATGTAGACTAATAGGCCATTTTATAGAGCTTTACAGCCCACTTTAAGCGATTTACAAAATCAGCCTATTGCACCCAACAATCCTCATTTTACTGACTTCAGAAGGATGGAAGGCTGAGTCAACCCGGAGCCAGTCAAAATTGAACTCCTGGCTGTGGGCAGAATTAGCCTAGAATACTGCACCGCCATGCTCTTAGATAGTGACTTATAATTAGGTGACTATAGCCCTTAGACTTATATACCACCTCACAGTGCTTTACAGCCCTCTCTAAGAGATTTACAGAGTCAGCATCTTGCCTCCAACAATCTAGGTTTATCATGTTACTGACCTCAGAAGGATGAACCTTGAGCTGGCCAGGATCAAACTCGAAACTCTGGGCAGAGTTAGTCTGCAATAACTGCAATACTGCATTCAAACTATTGGGCCTTCAGGGAGGGAGGGAGGGAAGGAGGAAGGAAGGAAGGAAGGAAGGAAGGAAGGAAGGAAGGAAGGGAGGGAGGGAGGGAGGGAGGGAGGGATGAAGGAAGGAAGGAAGGAAGGAAGGGATGAAGGAAGGAAGGAAGGGAGGGAGGGAGGGAGGGAGGGAGGGAGGGAGGGAGGAATAGAAATAGCAATAGCACATAGACTTATATATCAGGGCTCTTCAACCAATGGTACGGGTACCCCCTGTGGTACATTGGCATCTGGCAGGTGGTACGCGACCATCCTAGAAAAGTGGTAGCGGGGGAGGGGAATGAGGTGAACCGGTGGCAGCACCTCACAAGCCCGAGCGAGAGATGGCTGGAGCTGCAGGGCTGTCAGGGCTCAGCGGAAGCACCAGGATCAGTGCTGCTTTCCAGCTGATCGGTGCTTCTTTGAGACTGTCAGGGCTCAGTGGAAGCGCCAGGATCAGCGTCAGGCTCCAGATGGAGCTCAGCGCTCATCCTGGTACTTCTGCTGAGCCCTGAAAAGCACCAATAAGCTGGAAAGCAGCACTGATCCTGGCGCTTCTGCTGAGCCCAGAAGAAGCGCCAATCAGCTGGAATGTTGCAGCCTCTCCAGGGTCTTCTGATTTACATTCAGATGCTTGGCAACGGATTCATATTTATGACGGTCACAGTGTCCCAGGGTCATGGGAAGGGACCAAAACCTGCTGCAACCACCCAGCAGATGGGGGGGAATAAAAATCAAACACCCCCACCCCACCCTTGCTATTTTTTTTTTTTTTTTTTTGGTCATCAAGTTTTTGACACCTTGCTAGGCGACTGGTGGTACTCGGATGTTGCCATATCCTAAAAGTGGTACAATGGGTGAAAAGGTTGAAAGGCCCTGTTATATACCACTTTACAATGCTTTACAGCCCTTTCTAAGTGGTTTACAGAGTCAGCCAACCATCCGGGTCCTCATTTTACTGACCACGGAAGGGTGAAAGGCTGAGTCAACCTTGAGCTGGTCAGGAACACCTGTACAGAAGGCACATCCTGAGGTCCAGCTCTGGGCAATAAAAATGTGTCTTTTCCACGCAGGTCTTTATCAAAGAGACCTGGCTGGCCATAGGTGACATGGACCCTTGGCCTGGTCCAGCATCAAGGCTCCCTTTAGCTCAGCGGTTCTCCACCTGTGGGTCGGGACCCCATTTGGGGTCGAACGACCATTTCACGGGGGTCACCAAACAATGCAGTCCGCCATTTTTTCCCCCTTTTCCTTAGCTGTGCTACTCCCTCTTATTCTATTGGCTTTTGAAAGCCAATAGAATAGACTCTCTTGAATAGAGTCTCATTCTATTGGCTTTCAAAAGCCAACAGGAATTGTCCAGGCTGTCTCTGCCCTGCTGAGCCCGCCAAAAGTCCCATTCTGCAAACGGTGCTGCACCAGTTCAGTAGTCCTCGACTTACGACCGGTTGGGGGTCGTGGCATTAAAAAGGTTGAGAACCACTGCTTTAGCTCCTGATGCTCCACAAGAAGTAGAAGTCTTCTTCTCTAAACAGCAGTGCCCTCTGGTGGCCACCTGGGGCTTCTCATCCCCAAGATTGGCCAGGTGTTGAGACAGTTGGAATCTTGGTTGATCGATTATGTGCCATCAAGCCAGGGTTGACCCTTAGCAAGTTGATGATGATGAGGAGGAGGAGGGGGAGGAGGATGGTATCCATTCAATTGTGTCTGATTCGTGGTGATTCTATGGACATAGTGTCTCCAGATCTTCTGATCTTGCACTACTTCTTTGAGTTGTTCTATGCCAGGGGTCTTCAGACTTGGTCTTTTTATGACTGGCAGACTTCAACTCCCAGAATTCCTCAGCCAGGCACACTGGCTGAAGAATTCTTGGAGTTGAAGTCCACAAGTCATAAAAGGGCCAGGTTTGAAGACCCCTGGTCTGGATCCAAGCCCGCAGTTTCATCAAAATGGCCGACTGAGGAATTCTGGGAGTTGAAGTCCACGAGTCATAAAAGAGCCAAGGTTGCCTACCCCTGGTCTGGATCCAAGCCCGCAGTTTCATCAAAATGGCCGACTGAGGAATTCTGGGAGTTGAAGTCCACGAGTCATAAAAGAGCCAAGGTTGCCTACCCCTGGTCTGGATCCAAGCCCGCACTTTCATCAAAATGGCCAACTGAGGAATTCTGGGAGTCGAAGTCCACCCGTCATAAAAGGGCCAAGTTTGAAGACCCCTGTTCTATGCTCTGGCTGGGGTCAGCGTGGATGGTGTCCAGGCACCCTGTCCTTTGACGGCCTGGCTTCCTTTTATTGCTAACTCCTCTGAGCACAATTGCTTTCTCCAGTGAATTGTCCCACATGACATGACCAAAATAAGTTGAGACACAGTTTGATGATTTTGCCTTCCAGTGACATATCTGGGATAATACGCTCCAGTAGTTGGTTAGTCAACTTTGCTGTCCAAGGATAGCAACAACATAGATAGATTTTATCTCTAGGATGACCTGTCCTTCGTTTGGTCCTTCAAAGTTGTCCCCATCACCACTCTAACTGAATCCACCTTGCTACTATCGTGTTTCCCCAAAAATAAAATCCAAGCGGAAAATAAGCTCTTGCATGACTTTTCAGGATGCTCGTAATATAAGCTCCACCCCAAAAAATAAGCCCCAGTTAAGATTGTCAGCCAGATGGATGCGTTTAATAATGTTGTCAGCCGGACAGATGCATTTAATAATGTATTTCCCTGAAAAATAAGACCTAATGTGTCTTTTTGGAGCAAAATTTAATATACGGCCCGGTCTTATTTTGGGGGTCACACGGTAGTTATCCTCTTCTTTTCTTTCCTTCCACCTTCTCCATCATTAGAGACTTGTCCAGATAAGTTCATTACATTAGAAGCAACCTGGAATTAAGGAGAAACTTCCCGACAGTGAGGACAATTAACCAGTGGAACTGCTTGCCACCAGAAATCGTGGGTGCTCCCATCACTGGAGGTTTTTAAGAAAAGACTGGATATAGCCACTTGTCTGAAATGGTATAGGTTCTCCTGCTTGAGCAGGGGGCTGGACTAGAAGACCTCCAAGGTCCCTTCCAGCTCTATTCTATTCTATCATGTGTCCAAAGCACAGGTGGTCCTCAGCTTTCAACCACTTGTTTAGTGATCTTTCAAAGTTACAACGCCACTGAAAAAAGTGACTCACATTTATGATAATTGCACCATTTGTCTGAAATGGTATATAGGATTTCCTGCTTGAGCAGGGGATTGGACTAGAAGACCTCCAAGGTCTCTTCTAGCTCTATTCTATTCTATTCTATTCTATTCTATTCTATTCTATTCCATTCCATTCCATATTTTCTATTCTATTCTATTCTATTCTATTCTATTCTATTCCATTCCATTCCATATTTTCTATTCTATTCTATTCTATTCTATTCCATTCCATTCCATATTTTCTATTCTATTCTATTCTATTCTATTCTATTCTATTCTATTCTATTCTATTCTATTCTATTCTATTCTATTCTATTCTATTCTATTCTATTCTATTCTATTCTATTCTATTCTATTCTATTCAGCATTCCAGTATTTGAGGAGCTGCCACAAAGAAGAGGGGATCAAACTATTCTCCAAAGCATCAGAGGGCAGAAAAAAAAACAACGGATGGAAACTGACCAAAGAGAGAAGCAAACTGGAATTAAGGAGAAACTTCCTAACTGGGAGGACAATTAAGCAATGGAACAGCTTGCCACCAGAAATTGTGGGTGCTTCATCACTGGAGGTTTTTAAGAAGAGACTGGACAATCACCTGTCTGACATGGTATAGGTTCTCCTGCTTCAACAGGGGGCTGGACTAGAAGACCTCCAAGGTCCCTTCCGGCTCTATTCTATTCAGAATAATGGGGCAACAGAGCAGGACTTGGGTGGGAGAGCTTGAACATCGAATCCATGTCACCTCCCTAATTGACTCTCGGCCTAGCTTAGCGGTAGGCAACCTCGGTTCTTTTATGACTCGTGGACTTCAACTCCCAGAATTCCTGAGCCAGCCATGCTGAGGGGAAAGGGAGAGGCTTCCAAGCTGAGACATGCTGGCTCAGGAATTCTGGGAGTTGAAGTCCATGAGTCATAAAGGAGGGCCATAGTTCCTCCATGCTGGCTCAGGAATTCTGGGAGTTGAAGTCCACAAGTCATAAAAGAGCCCAGGTTGCCTATCCCTGGCTTAGCTTAAAAACAAGAAGTGGGTGGCTGATTCATTCCATGGCTTTTCTGCTCAGCCCCACATGATGACTTTTTCCTTTTAAACTCACTGGAGCAGCCAACCCCTCTCGTCTTTTTCCAGAGGAAGAAAAAAGTCCCTCTGTCTCTATTTCTGCAGAGTATGTGTGTGGTGGGGAGGGGGGAACGCTGATGGAGCCTTGAGTGGATCCAGTCAATCCAGTTAGAAAAGAAGATTTCAGGGAGAATGGCTCATAAGACGGAAAGCCACCCATTTTTTCTCGCCTGCTTGCTTTGCCTCTTGGACAAAGGTAAGTTTGCATGGGCAACATTTCTAGATGTGGGATACGGTAGGCGCGATAGCAGCGTTCCAGTATCTCAGGGGCTGCCCCAAAGAAGAGGGAGTCAAGCTGTTCTCCAAAATCCCTGAAGGCAGGACAAGAAGCAACGGAGGGAAACTAAGGAGAGAAGCAACCTCGAACTAAGAAGAAATTTCCTGACAGTCAGAACAATTAACCAGTGGAACAACCTGCCTCTAGAAGCTGTGAATGCTCCAACACTGGAAGGTTTTTAAGAAGAGACTGGACAGCCATTTGTCTGAAATGGTGTAGGATTTCCTGCCAGGGGGTTGGACTAGATGACCTCCAAGGTCCCTTCCCATTCAGTTATTCTTTCTGTTCTCCTGAGCGGAGACTTTCGAAGGATGCAAAAAAAGAGAAAGAGAAAGAATTGCATGTCTTAGCTTAAAAGGCACTGAACTGGCTAATCTGCCTGAGACAGGATCACTCAGATATTCAAGTGACCTTCAACGCTGCTAGTTCTTGAGTTTCTCTGGATTAAGATTTGCAAGAGATTCAACAAAGCATCTTGCACTTCACCTTGCCAATAGAGGACAGGATTTCTAGCTCAAGGTTGAACTGTGGGGTCCCAGATGCTTTCTGGGCTTGGTGGTTTTCTTGCATTATCCTTCCAACTAGGATAATGAAAAGAAGAAATAGGGGAGACATGATAGCAGCGTTCCAGTATCTGAGGGGCTGCCACAAGGCAGAAGGGGACAGGCTGTTCACCAAAGCACCAGAGGGAAGGATGAGAAACAACAGATGGAAACTGACCAGAGAGAGAAGCAACCTGGAACTAAGGAGAAACTTCCTGACAGTGAGGACAATTAACCAGTGGAACAGAAGTTGCCTCCAGAAATCGTAGGCGCTCCATCCCTGGAGGTTTTTAAGAGACTGGACAGTCACTTGTCTGAGATGGTGTAGGTTCTCCTGCTTGAGCGGGGGGCTGGACTAGAAGACCTCCAAGGTCCCTTCCAGCTCTATTCTATTCTATTCTATTCTATTTGAAAATATGGAATGGAATATAGAATAGAATAGAATAGAATAGAATAGAATAGAATAGAATAGAATAGAATAGAATAGAATAGAATAGAATAGAACAGAACAGAATAGAACATGGAATGGAATATGGAATAGAATAGAATAGAATAGAATAGAATAGAATAGAATAGAATAGAATAGAATAGAATAGAATAGATGGAAAGAAATAGAACATGGAATGGAATATAGAATAGAATAGAATAGAATAGAATAGAATAGAATAGAATATGGAATGGAATATGAAATAGAATAGAATAGAACAGAACAGAATAGAATAGAATAGAAAGAGAGTTGGAAGGGACCTTGGAGGTCATCTAGTCCAACCCCCTGCTCAGGCAGGAAACCCTATACCATTTCAGATAAATGGCTGTCCAGTCTCTTCTTCAAAAATTTCCAGTGTTGGAGCATTCACAACTTGAGGAGGCAAGACGGGGACTCTGAGTTTCATGCCAGTTAATTCAAGACAAATTTTAACCAAGGAGACTGTCATTTAATGCAGGGCATGCACATACACACACATACACACACAATAGACAGGCAGACAGACAGACAGAGGAATTCTGAGAGTTGAAGTCCACAAGACCAAAAGTTGCCAAGCTTTTCCACCTTTGCTTTCGTCCATTTATCACAATATCACAGCAGATCTGATGTTTCTCTCAGCATTGTCTTGTGACTTTTTTTTTTATTAAAGCAAATGACTAGAAATTCAACTGACCCTCTAGACCAGGGGTCTTCAAACTTGGCCCTTTGATGACTGGTGGACTTCAACTCCCAGAATTCCCCAGTCAGGCACGCTGGCTGAGGAATTCTGGGAGTTGAAGTCCACCAGTCATCAAAGGGCCAGGTTTGAAGGCCCCTGCATTATGTGATGCCACAAGGTAGAAGAGCAGGTTGGGGACAAAGCATAGCTGGCTGAGGAATTCTGGGAGTTGAAGTCCATATCTCTTAAAATGGCCACGGTTGAGAAACACCAGTTTAGCTCTTGCTGAGTTAGCATTACTTCCCCCTCACATTATGTCAGGGGTCTTCAAACCTGGCCCTTTTATGATTTGTGGACTTCAACTCCCAGAATTCCTCAGTCAGCCATGCTGGCTGAGGAATTCTGGGAGTTGAAGTCCATTCCTCTTAAAATCTACCTCAGGGATCTACAAACCTGGCCCTTTTATGACTTGGGGACTTCAACTCCCAGAATTCCTCAGTCAGCCATGCTGGCTGAGGAATTCTGGGAGTTGAAGTCCACTCCTCTTAAAATCTACCTCAGGGATCTACAAACCTGGCCCTTTTATGACTTGTGGAGTTCAACTCCCAGAATTCCTCAGTCAGCCATGCTGGCTGAGGAATTCTGGGAGTTGAAGTCCACTCCTCTTAAAATCTACCTCAGGGATCCACAAACCTAGCCCTTTTATGACTTGTGGGCTTCAACTCCCAGAATTCCTCAGTCAGCCATGCTGGCTGAGGAATTCTGGGAGTTGAAGTCCACTCCTCTTAAAATCTACCTCAGGGATCTACAAACCTGGCCCTTTTATGACTTGGGGACTTCAACTCCCAGAATTCCTCAGTCAGCCATGCTGGCTGAGGAATTCTGGGAGTTGAAGTCCACTCCTCTTAAAATCTACCTCAGGGATCTACAAACCTGGCCCTTTTATGACTTGTGGAGTTCAACTCCCAGAATTCCTCAGTCAGCCATGCTGGCTGAGGAATTCTGGGAGTTGAAGTCCACTCCTCTTAAAATCTACCTCAGGGATCCACAAACCTAGCCCTTTTATGACTTGTGGGCTTCAACTCCCAGAATTCCTCAGTCAGCCATGCTGGCTAAGGAATTCTGGGAGTTGAAGTCCACTCCTCTTAAAATCTACCTCAGGGATCTACAAACCTAGCCCTTTTATGACTTGTGGACTTCAACTCCCAGAATTCTGGGAGTTGAAGTCCGCTCCTCTTAAAATCTACCTCAGGGATCTACAAACCTGGTCCTTTTATGACTGGAGGACTTCCAACTCCCAGAATTCCTCAGCCAGGCATGCGTGCCCCTGTCCTAGATATTTAAGCAGAGTCATGCGTGCATGATGTACCAAATGCACAATTTCCTTCTGGGTGAAGGAAGCCCTCTCACCTCTTGTTTTCATGGGCAGGCCTCTCTTCCAAAGGATGGTCCATGCACGTCCCCTCGGAGGTGGTGGGCGAGGTTGGCAAGTCCGTGGCTCTGCCCTGCACGTTCACACACCCCCACAAGATGTACGACAAGGCCCTGACCGCCATTTGGCACGTGAGGGAGCCTTTCGACGGCCCGGTGGTGTTCAAGTGTGTCACCCAAAGTTCCAGTGACCTCTGCAGAGTTACGGTGGGCTTGAAGAACCGATACAAACTCCTGGGAAACCCCCGACAGAACAATCTCTCGCTCCAAATTGAGAATCTCAACTGGAACGACACCAACCGATACTTCTGCCGGGTCGAATTCTCGGGGGATCTCCACGACAAATACGAAAGCCGGATGGGGATTCATCTCCGTCTCGTAGGTGAGAAGATGGGGAATGCATCGAGGAGGGTGTCTGCAAGGGGAAGTAGTGTTGAAGGAAAAATCTTCATCAGGGTTCAGTCCAACATGGCGACTGCTTTAGAAAGAAGGTTGCAGTTTATTGAAGAGGAGAGCCAGACAGAAACATTGGCTCTGGAAGAAAAGAGAGCGAGCACATGTAGGGAGTGGGGTTTTATACCTTCGTGAGCTCTTTGTTTGGAGTAGTTCCTGTAGCATGTACTTTGACCTCAGTCTGAGTGTGCCCTTTGGCGTCTGTGGGTTAATCCTATTATGTCCTGTCTTAGAGTTTGGGTGGGATATGTAGATTTTAAGTGTCTTTGTCTTCCTAAGCTTCTAGCGGGGGGGAGGGGCTCCAACCTTCCTGAATGGATTATCACATCTGCATTTCTGCAGAGCTGGTTTTTTGCTTGGGGGAGGGAGACTTGGGGCTATTAAGAAAAACTGGGCATGCTTTTCTGACTCTTTAATATTTCCTTCTCTGGGGGGGGGGCTGACTTCCCACACTAGGAAGAGACGACAGGAAAGCCCATCCCTCTGTAAGGATTCCCAAGACCTCACTGATCCTTCATGCAATTGCTGCATATTCCTGTTTGTGGGTTGTGCAGCTCTGGAAAGATTGGCGTTGTTGCCGTAATGCCTTGGGGTTGATTGCATGTTGCCTTGAATAGGGCTGGATAGTCATGGTGGATTCCTTGGGTGCCCTCAGAGCTTGGTTGTTTTTGTCCAGATGTTTCATTACCCAAGTACCAAGGACCCCACAGTTCTCCTCCTCCTCCTCCTCCTCCTCCTCCTCCCAAAACTCACTCACTTCTCAACACTGATGATGTTACCTAGCTGGGTAATGAAACATCTGCAAGAAAACAACCAAGCTCAGAGAACACCAAGGATTCCACACTCATCTCCTCCTCCTCCTCCTCCTCCCAAATCTCACTCCCTTCTAGCACTGATGATGTTACCTAGTTGGGTCATGAAATGTCTGCAAGAAAATAACCAAGCTCAGAGAACACCAAGGACCCCGCACTCCTCCTCCTCCTCCTCCTCCTCTCAAAACTCACTCACTTCTCAACACTGATGATGTTACCTAGTTGGGTAATGAAACATCTGCAAGAAAACAACCAAGCTCAGAGAACACCAAGGATTCCACACTCATCTCCTCCTCCTCCTCCTCTTCCTCCTCCTCCTCCTCTTCCTCCTCCTCCTCCTCTTCCTTCTCCTCCTCCTCCTCCTCCTCCTCCATCATTCCACAAACCCCACTCCCTTCTAGCACTGATGATACCTTGTTTGGTTAATGAAACATCTGCAAGAAAACCACCAAGCTCAGAGAGCACCAAGGACCCCTCACATCAACTCTGAGCTACAAATATTCTCTTTAATGGGGTGAATTCCCCCCCCCTCCAGAACAATGGGGCCAGAGCCCAGTTTGCATGTAAACTCTTGAAGGCATTTTGACCAAGTTCACCTCTACTGCTAAAGTGGCTGCTCTGTTTGTGGCATACGTTTATAATATTTTAGACTTTATATTTCATGTTTTGTCTTTTTATCTCTTGTGGTTTTTTTATTGAAATGTGATGTGAATGCGCCTTACGATAAATAATAATAATGTAGCATGCTGTATCGTATGAATCCAGCTCTTTATAACATATCCAACAAATTAAAGCAAAGCAAGCCATTTTGCTTTAATCAATCAATCAATCAATCAATCATTTAAAACAACCTGGTCATGTCCAGAAGCCACAAATTTAGTCTATATTCAAACTAATTTTAAAAGCTATAAATCCAGTGGTGGAATTCAGCCGGTTCACACCACTTTGGCAGAACCGGTAGCTAATTTTTTGTTGCCCAGGACCAGAACGGACTTCCGGAAGTGGCATCCATGCAGAGAACCGATTGTTCACACATTTGAATCCCACTACTGAACAGATAGGTAGATAGATAGATAGATAGATAGATAGATAGATAGATAGATAGATAGATAGATGGATGGATGGATGGATGGATGGATGGATGGATGGATGGATGGATGGATGGATGGATGGATGGACAGATACAGTGGTGGGATTCAGCCAGTTCGCACCACTTCGGCAGAACCAGTAGCTAATTTTTTGTTGCCCAGGCCCAGAATGGATTTCCAGAAGCAGCATCCATGCAGAGAACCGGTTGTTCACCTATTTGAATCCCACCACTGTATAGTTTGTAGTAGGTTCCCCCAGGCTGGCTGGGGAATTCTGGGAGTTGAAGTCCACATATCTTAAAGTTGCCAAGGTTGAAAAACACCAAAAGAAGGGAGGGACTATGTTACAAATGAGAACATCCTGAGTAATAACTTATGGTTCCTATTTTTGATACGTTCTGCAGCTGCCCCCAGGATTATAAATATCTCTGTCCAGGCTGGGAAGGATCGTGACTTCCATGCCATGTGCACGGCTGAAGGTGAACCTCTGCCCACCCTGATGTGGGCTGGTCCCCTGTCTGGAAATGCCACCTCCGTGTCCAGCACAGGTCACCAGATCACCAAGGAGCTTCAGCGCCTGTCTCACGATGGGAAGTACACCTGTGTGGCCACCAACAGCCACGGCAGAGCAGAAGCGAGCGTCTACGTCTACAGGTTCAAAGCTGGAAGTGCTTCCTGGATCATGATTCTCTTGTTCGTAGCTTTGGGGATCAAGCTGGTGGCCCTGCTGGTGATCTTAGGGATCGGGGCCTATTGCAAGGGAGGTACGTATCCCTCTTTTAAATGCCAGTGACCTCTGTGGGGATCAAGAGAGGACAGGCTTGGCTTGAAGCTCAGGCCATCAGTAAATCCCAATGTGGACTGCTGGGTTCCTGACTTAGTTGGGATCGACTCAATAAACTGTGGCCCAGTGGCTCCTTGTTTAGCGACCACTTCATTTTGCGACCATTCACAAAGACGATGGTAATTTTTTAAAAAAATATTTTCCAACCAACGCACCGAATTCAGTGGTGGGATTCAGCCGGTTCACACCACTTCGACAGAACCGGTAGCTATTTTTTTGTGGCCCAGGCCCAGAACGGACTTCCAGAAGTGGCATCAAACACAGAGAACCGGTTGTTCACCTATTTGAATCCCACCACTGACCAAATTTCACGCGCCTGGTAGCTAACACCATCAGAGTGAAAAGATTAAAGTCTTGTTAGTTTTAGGCAGCAGCCAGGTTGGAGCTGAGCTTATTAATTAGCAATGAGAAGCCGTGTGCTGTGAAGAGGAGCAGATCAGGGATTGCTAGTTTAAGCAATCTCTCCAGCTTGTGAGTGGGGAAGAGGGAGAAAAAAAAAACAGGTCAGGCACAGGATGCTGTAACAGAGAATTTTTTCCGAATCCGAAGGCAACAACCAGTGATCTTTGCAGCATATCTCTCTCTCTCTCTCTCTCTCTCTCTCTCTCTCTCTCTGTCTCTCTCGCTCCCCCCTCCATCTCTCTCTCTCTGTCTCTCTCTGTCTCTCTGTCTCTCTCGCTCCCTCCCTCCTCCCTGTCTTCTCTCTGTCTCTCTCTCTGTCTCTCTTTCTCTCTGTGTGTGTGTCTTTCTCTCTCTCTCTCTGTATCTCTCTGTCTCGCTCCCTCCCTCCCTCCATCTCTGTGTCTGTCTCTGTGTGTGTGTGTGTCTGTCTCTCTCTGTGTCTCTCTCTCTTCTTTCTCTGTCACTCTGTCTCTGTCTCTCTCTGTGTATCTCTCTCTGTCTCTCTGTGTGTCTCTATGTCTCTCTCTCTCGCTCCCTCCTTCCATCTCTCTCTCTCTCTCTCTCTCTGTCTCTCTGGGTCTCTCTTGCTCCCTCCCTCCCTCCCTCCCTCCCTCCCTCCCTGTCTTTCTGTCTCTCTCTCTCTCTCTGTGTCTCTGTCTCTCTCTGTGTGTCTCTGCATCTCTCTCGCTCCCTCCCTCCATCTCTGTCTCTGTCTCTCTCGCTGTCTCTCTGTCTCTCTCTCTCTCTCTCTCTCTCTCATCTAGTCCAACTCCCAAGCAGGAGACCCTAAGCCACAATCTAGGTTTCTTTGGCTTAGTGCAGGGGTCCCCAACCTGTGGGCCGTGGCCCACTACTGGACCTTGACCTATTTGCAACTGGGCCGGCGCACATATGCACACACAGCCCGACTCACATAAATGGTGGGTGCCAGCACTCACAGCCCCACTCACATGAGCGGTGGGTACGCACGTGGCCGTGCCTGCCCCCCGCACAAAACCATTCTCTCTTCCCCCTCCCCCCCGTGCCGGGCCACCAACCCAGAAAGATTGGGGAATGCTGGCTTAGTGCATTGTGTAAACACCCTTGTGTTTGTGTGGGTTTGTTCTCACTGTGAGTTGTGTTTGGGGGGTGCATGAAGGGAGTCTCAGCCAATCTCATTGTACACATGTTGCACTTTGAACTGTGGTTAAGGTACATGACCCAAGATTTCTGCAGTCAGTTCTCACAGGCAGTTGCAATTTACCAACATGTTAAGCTGGGCCAATTTTAACCTTTTCTTTTCTAGCATGGTGTTTTGTGTGAACGCAACCTACAGTATTTGGTTGGTTGGGAGTTCAGTGCCTTTTGCAAAGATGGCTTAAGTGTGTTGGGTGAAGACAATCAATAGATGGTTATTTCCATGATTTGATGCAGATGTTGAGATGGTAAATGCGGAGATTCATCAACAATGGCAAATTATCATAGCATAGCTGTGCACCTTCTAACCCAGGGGTCTTCAAACGTGGCCCTTTTATGACTTGTGGACTTCAACTCCCAGAATTCCTCAGTCAGCCATTTTGAGGAAACTGAGGGCTTGGATCTAGTCCAGGGGTCTTCAAAGTTGGCCCTTTGATGACTGGTGGACTTCAACTCCCAAAATTCCTCAGCCAGCGTGCCTGGCTGAGGAATTCTGGGAGTTGAAGTACGCCAGTCATCAAAGGGCCAAGTTGGAAGACCTCTGCTCTAACCAAGAATGTCCTAGCACCTGGATTGAAGAAAGATTGTCCATGCTCAAGTAGAGGCATCCTGTTTTCAGCTTCAAAATATCTCAAGCAAGCCCAGGTGTTTCAACCTTACTTCAAAACTGAAATCAACAAGATCTTTCAAGGAAGAAAACCAGCATATTGCAAAGGAGCTATGGCCCTTGTCCAATACCTCGTTTTTTAAGTGAGAAGAACTTTTAAATGAGGTTGTCCTGAAGCCTACGAACTTTCAGAGGCAACTAGAAGTAGATGCATAAGTCAAAGGTTTTCTATCTAACTCAAGAGCGTCCAACCATGGCAACTTTAAGTCTTGTGGACTTCCACTGCCAGAATTCCCCAGCTATAATAATAATAATAGTAAAGTTGGAAGGGACCTTGAAGGTCATCTAGTCCAACCCCCTGCTGAGGCAGGAAACCCTACACCATTTCGGATAAATGGCTGTCCAGTCTCTTCTTAAAAACTTCCAGTGTTGGAGCATATCATTTGCCTGTAAGCAAAAACTGGTGGGATCATAAAATAGAGAAAGTCATAGAAAATGATAAAATTAAACTGCTCTGGGACTTCAGAATTCAAACAGACAAGCACCTGCAACATAACACCCCAGACTTAACAATTGTCGATAAGAAAGACAAAAAAGTCTGGATAGTGGACGTGGCAGTGCCTGGAGAAGCAGAATAGAAGAGAAAGAACTGGAGAAGATAACAAAATACAAAGACCTACAAATAGAAATAGAAAGACTGTGGCAAAAGCAAGCAAGGGTAGTACCAATAGTCATAGGCTCCTTGGGTGCAATCCCAAAACAACTGGAGCACCACTTGAACACCATTGGCATTGACAAATTCGCTATTAGTCAATTGCAACAGGCGGCCTTACTAGGAACTGCTTCCATCCTGCGACGATACCTGTAATACCATCAAACATCCACATCTGCCTATCCCAGGTCCTGGGTAAGGACTCGATAGGTAGACAAAATGCCAAATCCAGTCTGAACATCTGGCTGACTGTGCGATGATCCATAATAATAATAATAATAATAATAATAATAATAATAATAATAATAGTTGGAAGGGACCTTGGAGGTCATCTAGTCCAACCCCCTGCTCAGGCAGGAAACCCTATACCATTTCAGACAAATGGCTGTCCAGTCTCTTCTTAAAAACTTCCAGTGTTGGAGCATTCACCGCTTCTGGAGGCAGGTTGTTCCACTGGTTAATTGTTCTAACTGTCAGGAAGTTTCTCCTTAGTTCTAGGTTGCTTCTCTCCTTGATTAGTTTCCACCCATTGCTTCTTGTCCTGCCTTCAGGTGCTTTGGAAAATAGCTTGATTCCCTCTTCTTTATGGCAGCCCCTGAGATATTGGAATACTGCTATCATGTCCCCCCTTGTCCTTCTCTTCGTTAAACTAGACATACCGAATTCTAGCAACCGTTCCTTATATGTTTTAGCCTCCAGTCCCCTAATCATCTTTGTTGCTCTTCTCTGTACTCTTTCTAGAGTCTCAACATCTTTTTTACATCGTGGTGACCAAAACTGGATGCAGTATTCCAAGTGTGGCCTTACCAAGGCATTGAAGAGTGGTATTAATACTTCACGTGATCTTGATTCTATCCCTCTGTTAATGCAGCCCAGCACTGTGCTGGCCTTTTTGGCAGCTGCAGCACACGGCTGGCTCATATTTAGGTGATTGTCTACTAGGACTCCGAGGTCCCTCTCACAGTTACTACTATTGAGCATGGTGCCACCTATGCTGTACTTGTGCATTTGGTTTTTCTTGCCTAAATGTAGAACCTTGCTTTTTTCACCACTGAATTTCATTTTGTTAGTTAGTGCCCAGTGTTCATCATGTTAGTGCCCAGCTGACCATCATGGCTGAGGAATTCTGGGAGTTGAAGTCCACGTGTCTTAAAGTTACCAGAGTTACACTCCTGATCTAATTTATCAAGATCCTGGACCATTTCAACCTTTTGTTCTGGAGCACCTAGGGATAATCTAGCAAGAAATATGTGAATATTTTCGATTGGTTTTCTTACCTTTTGCATTACAGATAACTTTATGGTTCCAACCAGCTTTTCACGGTAAGAGTCTCTCGAGTCTTGTTGAATATAAGTGGATTTCTAGAAATTATGTATCTCGTGGTAAGATTCCCAAATCTAGAAGGAAAAAGGAAGGGTTTGCTTTGTAGAATTTAAGTCGGACAGAGCTGATCTTTCAACCACAGCCCACAGCTAGACCTTACAAAATGGTTAGCCAGTTGCTTTGGTCTCCTATCATGTGATCATATAAAATCGGTCTCTCTGATTCTTCAACAGGGGCCAAAGTCTATTTAAAATGTGTAACTGGAACCTCCTAATTCATACTTGGTTCAAAACTAATCCATGAACTCTGTAGGTTAACCAAGTAAAACAATTTATCAGAAGGTCATAGAACAGCCAATTCAAAATTAGGGTCCATCAATTCATGAAAAAGAAGGAATTCTCTTCTAGAACAGGGGTTGTCCAAGCTTGACAACTTTAAAAGCTGTGGACCTCAACTCCCAGAATTCCCCCATCCAGCGTGAATTCTGGGAGGGGAAGTTCACAGGCCAAGGTTGAGCACCCCTGTTCTAGAAAAGTGTTTCTCAACCTTGACAATTTTAAGGCATGTGGACTTCAACTCCCAGAATTCCACAGCCAGCAATGCTGGCTGTGGAATTCTGGGAGTTGAAGTCCACATGCCTTAAAATTGTCAAGGTTGAGAAACACTGCTCTTAGAAGATCAGATCATGGCTGTTCTTGAAAGTTACATACTTCACTGCAAATCTATTAC